ACAGCTAGGGCAGGTCACAGGATAGTCCATCTGCGTTCACACAGTGAGCAGCTTCGGGGCAGTCACACAAACACAGCCAAACTATAACACCATGTGGTCAAGTCAGTCTGCATGGTGGTGTGCCCCATAGGTTCAAGGTAATCTATATCATCAGCTGCGTTGTGTGGCTGGAGGGGTCATTATCAGGTAACTCTGCTCCTTTGAAGGACATCACGCTGTGATGGCCCTGGGCCATGCAAAGATATAATGCTGAGGATTGCAGGTCAAGGATTTGATGAGTGTCTTAATTTTCATTTCGTCTCTTCAAAATCTCAGAAACTGGAAGACCAGCTGTGTTAAGTGTGGCTGGAGGGGTCATTATCAAGTAACTCCCTTCCTTTGAAGGACATCGCGCTGTCATGGCCCTGGGCCACGCAAAGGTATAATGCTGAGGATTGCAAGTCAAGGATTTGATGAGTGTCTTAATTTTCATTTCGTCTCTTCAAAATCTCAGAAACTGGAAGAATTAGAGAAGGAGGAAGAGCTGAGAGAAGCTGCTGGAGAATATGACAGTGAACCAGAAAGCGAAGATGAAGAAATGATGGAAATCCGACAGTTGGCGAAAAAGATCCGAGAAAAGAAGAAACTGATAATCCTGCAGTCAAAGGAGAAAGATACTCGAGGTCCGAGGATGCCTAGGACAGCTAAAAAGGCAAGTATTGAACATGTTCTGTAGTAAAACCTTGCCGATGTGTAATAGCTTTGTGAAAATACACAACAATGTCGGGCAGTGGAACTGATCACTCTCTCATGCAAATAATTAGGAGAAATATATACTTAAAGTGATATAAAATTTGTTGTGGAGCCCTCCCTATGTTGGAAAATATTATATGTATTTCTTTTTGGGAGCTAGGTATCACACTTTCTAGTGTCAGAATCTCCTGTGACCAGTCCAAGGTGATTGCAGAATAACAAACTCATAACTAGACATTTTGATAAAACGGATCTTGCTGATTCTGTATTTGAATCCAGTATTTCTTATCTCCCCCAAAGTGTATGTCTTTTGGGAGAAGGAAACATTTCTGACTGAAGTATCTCTCTTTGTCACCTTCCCCCCAAAAAGGCAGACTATTTGAAAGATCTTTACATAACTAGACATTTTGATAAAACGGATCTTGCTGATTCTGTATCCAGTATTTCTTATCTCCCCCAAAGTGTATGTCTTTTGGGAGAAGGAAACATTTCTGACTGAAATATCTCTCTTTGTCACCTTCCCCCCAAAAAGGCAGACTATTTGAAAGATCTTTAGGGAGTGCTGGGACATTGCAGTCCTGTGAAGGATTTATGGGTGAAGACAATTATGTTGCAATAAATGAAATGTGAAGTTATGACTTTCATTATCTGCTTGTGGGTTGTGTCAACGGAAGAAAGCTGTAGTCAATATAAATGGGCTTATGGTGGTATCTTAAGACAAAAAATAAGATGGAACCATACTTCTTTGAAAGAAAGATGTTTTCTTAACTGTCTTTACAGGTCCAGCGGAAGGATTTATGGGTGAGGACAATTAAGTTGCAATAAATGAAATGTGAAGTTATGACTTTAATTATCTGCTTGTGGGTTGTGTCAACAGAAGAAAGCTGTAGTGAATATAAATGGGCTTATGGTGGTATATTAAGACAAAAAATAAGATGGAACCATACTTCTTTGAAAGAAAGATGTTTTCTTAACTGTCTTTACAGGTCCAGCGGAAGGTGTTAGAGAAAGAAATGACTGATCTTGGACTCGACATGACAAATAAAGATGATGTAAGTTTTTGCTAAGTAAACACAATGTTTATCTGAAAGAGATCAATTTCAACACATGCTAAATTTCTTTGAGCCCATTTGAAATGCGCATTACAGTTGGCACAAGAGAGGTGAGATCTCTGAAGGAGAAAATAGGAAACCCAGATGAGGCAGTCGATACCTGAACTTTTGAGTGATGTGATCAATACCATTTGGATAGGCTGAAAAAAGAACATTTATCAAGAATCACATATATATATATGCACTGCTTTCTATTTGAACTCTTTTGGAATCTGTATAGGATTCAAGAAGGGGGTTTGGCTAAATATACTTCTTAATTTTCAAGTCTGCTTTGTTGCATGATCAATACGATTTGGATAGGCTGAAAAAAGAACGTTTATCAAGAATCACATACATAAATATATATGCACTGCTTTCTATTTGAACTCTTTTGGAATCTGTATAGGATTCAAGAAGGGGGTTTGGCTAAATATACTTCTTAATTTTCAAGTCTGCTTTGTTGGATGAGACACTACTATGTCAGAAATAGTAATAATGACAGATCAGCTTATCTTTTTACAATTCATTAATGCTGTGAGTTTTAATTGAAGTTTTTGAGGGCAACTGGCGTCTTTAAGTGTAAGGCAGCTAAAGTACTTCAAACAGATTTGCCTTTAGGAGACATTTCATTTTATCAGAAATCAAAAAAATACCCACTGTGTACAGCAAATGCAGCAGTGTTATGGCTGCCTAGGTCTTGAGACCTCAAATTCTTTAACTAAAGAAGGAGTTAGGGAAGAAGGAATGTCAGCACTACATGTCTGAAGTGAGCATTTATGCTTCTCAGAGCTGACTTGCTGTATTGACTTAGGAGCGACCTCAGTGAGGAGGAATTTAATACTTGTGCTGTAGGATGATATGTCTTCGTGGTGGAAATTCCTTAGGGCTTTGTCCTGAAACGAGGACACAAATCAGGGTGGGTTTCTTCATTGCTTTTTTGCTGTTGCAAAATTGCTTCAGTGTTGCTGTCTATTAATTGTCTGTGTCTTTTTATCCATTACTTATGAATCTACTCAGAAAAAAAATGAGAAAACTGGAGTTAATAATTGTGAGAAGAGTATGTTATTATTCACCGAAATTTGAATATTACTGTAGGACAGAAAGGTGGTGACCAGCGGTTGACGAGGTCGTTGTGTTACTATGGAATAACCAAAATCATGTATCACACCAGTCCACTTTTTGGGTTTTTTTGTATTAGTCTAATTAGAAATGGAGCATGCCTGAGCTGATCTTTTCTGTGTTTAATAATTAAAGTGATGTTTTGCATTTCAGGCCCATTATGTGAGGAGGTCCCGTAGTGTTACGAGGAAGCGTAAACGTGATGAGTCTGAAACCCCCAGGTCTGTGGCGCGCAGCCGCAGCTCCTCTCGCACCCCACGGGATGTCTCTGGTCTGAGGGATGAAAAGGTTTGTTGGAAATTATTTACCTTTATCACAATTAAAACAGCATAATTTGACTTAAGCCACCTTCTGGGAAACTTCCTGCCAGGCTGGTTGTGTTTGTCAGGAGTTCATCTTCTTCTTGCAGCTTCATCTTCTGTTCGTTTGAACACTCTGTACTTCAAAAATGCCTAGTTCGTTCTTAAAAATAACTTGTAATAATTGACTAAGAAAGCACATTTTAAATTTTGGTCTCTAAATGCAAGTCTGACAGAAGAGTTCTACAAACTGTGGGGTTCCACTGTAGGGAGGTTAGGAATTCTGGGGACAGTGGGATCAAGTTGGTGTAGTGGGGAAAGAAGAGTTTTGCTGCGGAGGATTCGTGTGGGTTGCAGCGATACTGATCCAGAGCTCCAGGTGGTGCCGTGCGTTGGGTGTTAGTTCCTGTCCTTGTTCAAATCCTCTGGCTTAGTGGTTGTTTAAAAGGTAAAACCAGTGACCTGGGTTACTGGGGCCGTTACTCTGCATGTCTGCTGTTTGTTTTTAAATAGATGGTGAAGAAGGTCAAGACTATGGCAAAGAAGGCTCAAAAGAAAATGAATCGCCTGGGCAGGAAAGGGGAGGCGGACAGACACATATTTGACTTGAAGCCAAAGCATCTGCTGGCTGGGAAGAGAAAATCTGGGAAAACACAGAGAAGATAAGCAGTTTTCTGAATCAAAACTAATTAAAACTAAATTTATTAAAACTAATTTCTAGTCCTGTCTTCCTTTTTAGTCATATGAGGCGTTTAAAAAGTACCTGGTTTGTGTTAGTGGTTAAGATACGTGAAGCTCAGAGGAAAAGTTCTGACAGCTTGATCTTGTAGTTCCAATTCCGTAATAAATTTGTCGATACCAGTGGCAGAAACCATTTGTAAATAGACATAAAAAATACCACTTCATTCCATTTTCTTACCACTGACTTCCATGTAGCAGTAGAGCACTTAAAAGTTCTATGTAAAAGTAGATTTAAAACGGGGTTACATCTACATACATTTCAGGTATGGAGAGAGTGAGGATCAGACTGAAATTCTGTCCTGAGTGCAGGTCCGTTACGCTGCTGTCAGCCCCTGCTTAGGAAGAGAAAAATTCTGTATCTGTTCAAGGCAAAATATATTGTCAAATGGGAAATATTCCATTTTGTGTCCCTAGATGGTCAAGAACATGATAGGAATTATCTAGAGGTTAGTAAAATTGCACATTATAATGTGTTGCCTGAACAATACACTTAAAATGCACAGTTTTAAAGATGAAATGGGAATCCAATGAAATACGAGCGTTAGAAACAAACATAAACCCAAAAAAGTAAGAGGAAAGCTTCTTTAAATAATTGCTTTTTAAATACAAAGGGTAAGAAGAGCGTGCAGATGTCAGCTTTGACATATTGGAGCATTATGTGTAAATCCATATTGTTTCCCTCATCTACTTTGTGTATTAAGTTGGGTAACACTGCAAACAAGTTCAGCGTCAAGAAAAACTTCAATGTCAAAACTTTTTAAGGGATTTTGAAGCACTGTTCAGCAAAACTTAGCTTGAGGCCAATTTTCGCACTTTATTTCTGCTTCAGGGTGTGCTTTGGCTCCAAGCTGGACACTTCAACTAGAAAAAGCAGAACTTTGCTAAAATAAATTCATGCCCCAGTCCCCCACCCCACTGCTCTGGTGGCGTCACGGGCACGCTCTTGTTTATAGCGTAGTCATGACAGAGATTAGTCCCCAAGGGGTTCAAAGTCTGGAAAGAAAACACCAGTCCACGGTTTTAGGTTAGGTATTTTAATCATAATTTTATCTTTTAAGACACAATTTTATTTAAAAAGTACTTTAAGTATTTGAAAAGTCCTCTAATGTATTAGTTCGGTGGTGTGGCTGATGGCACTGAATGCAGGAGAGCAGGGACACTGCTCCCTCACCCGCTGGCACCTGCTTCAAGAGGATCCCTCAGCTCAGGGTGACATCCAACACGCTGGGCTCTGAAAGCTGTCAGGTGTTTAACGGCTGGAGATGCCAGCACAGGGAAGCCTCAGCGCTGCAGCCACAACTGCGGTGCCAAAGAGGAACGTTGACCATTGGAAAAGTTTAGTTTCACCTCAAAACCAGACACAGACAAGTTAAAGCCACGTTTTACATGCACGAAGTGGCATGAACACCACCCTTCTTCATCAAGATGCTTCTGGAAGAAGATAATTTAAGAAACCTAGATTGAGTAGTCTGCTAACAGAAAAAAAAACCCCACAACTAAGCTTTTCTTTTGGAAAAGAAAAACCCAAACACAAAAATCTTTAATTCAAATTGAGATAGATACCCTTGATAATTTGTCCTACTAAAAAAAGCCTTCCCTTTTCCTCGTTACCAGCAATTGACTGCAGGATCAAAAAGGATTAGCTCTTGCCCTCTGGTACAATTTCTGATTAGCTGAAATGAAGACCTGATGTAAGCCTGTAAACTGTCAATCTTGAATTTTGGAGTTCAAGGGGTTTGAGTTTTCCAGGAATGACTATTCCAGTAGATGTTTCAGGGAAAAAAAACTCAACCTTGTATCGAGAGGCCTTTGTTTTCTGGAAGATGGAGCAGAGTCATGGAATGCGTGTCCCTTCTCTGGACACAGGCTACTTCCTACACTGGACAGGCTACAGTTACATTTGCTGTAATTAATTACCCCTCTCCCCTTTATTTATTTTTTTTTTTTTTTGGATGCCCTCACTCAGCCATCAACTCACCAGAAAAGGTTGGTGGGGAAAAAAAACCCCACCAGCCCCGCAGTGTTTATCACCCAGAGCTGTGACACTATTGCAGGACTTCAAAGTGAACCTCGGTCTGTGCAGACAATCCAATTACTTACGCTTTTATGTGTCTGGTTAATTATAGAGTACAGCAGCTGAAGAGATTTGCTTTCTGCAATTAAAAATAATCCTGATTACTTTGAATTAATTGCGTTTTCTTCAGGCAGCTGGCCTTCTCAACAGCAACGCAGAACTCAAGCTCTTTTGCAATCACTATTTTGGGAGGCGGCGTCCCGTTCGGTTGGGAAGGTGCCAGTTCCACCCAAGGAGCTGGAGAGGAGGCACCACCTCCCCTGCAGCCCCTGGGCCAGGACCTGACAGCAACTGGGCACACACGGGCTGAGGGTCTTCCATGTCACACCAGGCAATGGAGAAAGATGAACCCAGGGGGGTTCTTACATTACCATCACCCATTTTTATATGAGATGAAGCTTAACTCGCCCAGGAGGAACGGGGCTGGGGGTAAGAGGAGGGGAAGAGAAGAAAAAAACATTGTTTATAACCATCTCTGTATAAAGTTATTTGTTAAACATGCTCCAGGTGGATCACTTTGCTGCACCCAATAGTCAGTGGTTACCGAGCCAGCACATGGCTGTAGCCTTCAGCATCTTCCACCCCGGCTATTTACATTCTGTGTATCTTTTCATGATCAACAAATTTGTTCAAGTTAGGTAAGTTATCCCACCACTTAAAAAGAAAGGTCTCTGCAATTAGTTTAAACCACGGAGTAATTTTAACTTCGTTCTTGGAGGCTTTCTCCAAGAGCTGTTTCAGTTCCTTCTGAGTCACGTAGCAGTAGCTCTGGATCTCGTTGGGGTCGGGATTCAGCGTCACGTCCTTCCGCACAAACAAGATGTAGTCGATCTCGTGTTCACCCCAGATCCCATCAGACTTGGCCTTGTAGTGGATTCGTGTCAGGTAGGAGATTTCTTCTGGAGTTACCTACAACCAAAACACTTGTCGGAACCGGTGCCAAAGCAGAGTAATCGGCAGAGCAGGTAAGTAATTCTGGGGAAAACCTAACCATCGGGTTTCCCAGGGACACACGGCTTCTCCCAAGCCCCACGACACAAACATCATGAGCTACAAAAATGTGGAAAGCGATTTCGACCACAAGTGTAATCCAGCCAGCTTCACCCTGCTCCCTCTGCACTCCCCCAGCAGAAAGGACTGCTCTGGAAGAAACACCGAGTGCACAGGGCATCCTGCTTCCCGTGGGAGACGGGGGATCGCAGAGGGACTGGCCCAGGGAAGCTGGCAGCAGCTCCCAGCAATGCCCTCCCCCGGGGAAGCAGGACAGCCCACCCAGCTGGAAAACACACAGGCACCCACAGTCAGCCTGACACAACACAACCCTTCATTACTGTGCCATTTGGCTCATATTTAGTTTGAGCAGTGGAATATTCCAAAATACCATTTAGCGATACCGGCTTTTGAGACTCTGGAATACAGATGAAGAAGTCTCAAATTCACTAAGTTCTCTACATCTCCAAAGTTAAAATCATTTTTAGGTTTCAGGCTGACCCTGCCGGATGCAGTTAGCCTGTGAAGTGGCAAACAACTGCAAGAATTCCCGTTTCTCCTTCCTTCCTTTACCTGCTCCATGGGAATTCCTAACTCTGCTTTCAGACGTCTCTGTGCCGCTCTCCGCACACCGATGGCATCATTCTCTTCCAGTTCTAGCGGGTGGCTTAGAGGGTGACTGCAACAAGTGTTGGTGAAACAATCTGCAAGAAGTTTGTACCGGTACATTTTTGACATGTATAAAGCAGTGCAAAAAAACCCAAACCCTCACAACCCCCAAAAACCAACCACCCACCACCAGAAAACCCCCCAAAGTTAGGACAGTTACTCAACATCACAGCTTTATTTCTTTTTTTTGTAGAGAAGGGTCAGAGAGGAAGGAGGATGTTTTCCCTTCTTATTTTTCTTTCCATATTTTGCACCACGATTTGTCTGTACCAAGCCTTACTTTGCAGGTTAGTGTTCCATACACATGAGCACATACATTCCATACCCAAGACACCATCTACTTAGAGAGACAGTTTAAAAAGCCTTTGTTTATCTTGCAAACACTAATTAAAATTACTTTTGGGAGTTTATATGCAACAGATTATTGAAAATACTCCCAGAGCTTCAAGACCAGCTGACAATAAGTAGAAGTAAATAAGCAGTTTATGCTTGTGTTTAAAGAACAGATGGTCTACACTCTCTGCTTCAAGGGTATTAAAAAATTACTTAGCAGTAATGTAGAATAACTCTGATTGGCCAGCTTTTTTTTTCCTAAGAGTCTACCTCAAAAACATCTAAGATAGAGTCAGATTACCTGCAAGCTTACACTTGAGCATTTTGATTAGTTAGTGTTCACGGGGGAAAAAAAATCCCTAAAGATTCCCTCGGAAGGAAAAAAGAGGTCTTTCTTCCCCGAGTTGAAGAGGGTTAGAAACACTTGAATTTGTTTTCCAGCTGAAATCCTGAAACAGACAGCTTTATGCTTCCTCAGACACATCTTGTGTAAGCTATTTTTCTTTCATTCCACTTCTTATTTTTATGCCTCTCCATTTGCATTTGATAGTAATAGTTCGGGAGTCTTCAGAGAGCACACGCTACATACTTTGATCACAGGGTCTCACTTTTTCTATAGTTAAAAAAGCGTTTGTTAATACTGACACAGACAAAGGTCTGCAGATCCCACTGAAACAGCTCCACTCAGCACAGCTGCTCCCCAGCAGCGGGGCTCCGCTACACAGCAACTGCGTGTGTCACCAGTGGAATCAGAACATGCTCCACAGCTACTGCAGCAATTGCTTCAACTCCACTAACCAGGTCTTGCAGCACAGGAGGTAAACAAGGCACGCTCTGCACTTGCACCAACAGGATCAAACAAGTCAGGGAACGATCATTTCCCAGGAGTATGTGTAACAATACGCTAGTGTTCCCATTATCTTATTCCATCCATCAGGCAAGCACATCTCAAACTCTTAAAAGTACCTCCTCTCCAAAGAAGTAAATTCTAAAAACTCAGAATAAGTCACATTGTGAAATTAGACTGGCACATTTTAAAAAATATCGATTTAAGCAAAGCATTTTTATAAATACAATGTCTTTCAGTACTAACCTGGAAATGTAATTTTTGCATTTGACCTCTGCTGCAGCAACAGTTTATTTTCTGTATTAAATAAGAAAACACTGAAAGCTCGGTGCAGTAAACCTAAAAACAAAACAAAACAAAACAGACAGAGCTATTTAAAAGGAGAAAAACCCAAAATATATGAAGACAGAGTTTAAGGGCTTAGAATGCCCTAATTTTTGCATAACCTAAATTTAAAATTCATATCGCTTAAAAAGGAAGGATTTGATAAAAATCTCAGAGTTATTTAGGTTTCTCTGTCAGCTTGTGCAAAACATTATGCAATTAGAAAAGAGCTAAGAACAACAATGCAACAGAAGAGTTCTCCTAAACTCGGTCAGTTCACCGTTCTGAAGATGCACGTTTGAGCAAGCTTCTAAGGAGGGCTCAGCATCCATAATTTACTATCAAAAAGCCCTAAAAAATTGTATGGAAGTACAAAATCCCTTAAAAACAGTACAATTGCTGTTTTCTGCAACTTCTGAGTTTGTTATTCCTCACTCTACAGGAAGATGCTTCCCATGAGTATGGAAAAGGAGGTCATAAACTACTGCGAGGGATGCACAAATCTGACCAACCTCAAATAAACTCCACAATCAATCAGAATGACAGCAACAACAAAATCCCTTTCCTATTAGCAGTATTTGAAGTAGAACTCTGTGTGAACTGCTTAAAAATCAAAGTGTCTTCTACTTGAAAAGAACTTGGTGAAGAAGCAAGTGTCATGCTTTAAAAAAAGCTACACAGAATCAGGTATCTGTAATAGGAATATAGTACTATTTTATCATCAAAATGTGATTCAAAAATATTTATCAAGACATACAGCTTACATCCACAATGCCACATTTTTCTCCTTTGCTACTGCCTCCAACTGTGTATCCCTCCATATTGCAGTATTTTTGAAATCAGACAAGGTTACGCTGGGGGGAGAAGGGGTGTGTGCGGAGAACTTTCTCTGGTTTGATCCAACACCCACCTGAGATTAAGGCTTTAATTTAATCATTACTATATTTCTAAAAATATTCCATCAACTAAATGGTTCATTTAGAAAGTAAGCAAGCTGTACCTTTGTCAATGTTTTCATTCAAGTGACAGTTTTTCTTGGTATCTGCTCCAATCTTATTATCATTTTCATCAATAAGGATGCACATCTCTGCCAAGAGCTGCACCTGCTGCTCATCCAGGTGATCGGTGTTTACTTCAGGCATTGTGAGGGTAGCACACGTTCTACTGAAATAAACAACAAAAAGCACAGTCGCTCAATAACAGTAACATCTACAAGGTTCTTTCTGGGTAGAGTGTGAGAAATAATCAAATGGCTAAGTTTTCCGACGTGGTGTAAATTGTGCACCAATTGTATTTTTGGGGGGGTTACATGCTTTTGGATTTCTGAAACTTCCTACCCACGATATCAAATGTTGCAATGTGATGTGTAGGTGCCTAAAAGGTTTCTTTTTTTGTTTCTCTGAAACTCCATGCAGTGGAGAGGCTGCCGCAGGCCAGACGTGCCAAGCATAACATGTGCCAAGCGTAACATGGTGGTATAAGAAATCCAATTCCATATTCCACACAGCACAGATGTCACCCTGCCCGATCCCACAGCATATACATTGCCAGACAGCATGTATACTTCCCTCCTCATCAGGGAGAACTAAGTAACGAGGATTCCCTGCCCAAGCACTTCTGCTGGGGTCTGGAGCACAAGTGTTATGAGGAGAGGCTGAGGGAGCTGGAGAAGAGGAGGCTGAAGGGAGACCTTATCACTCTCCACACTACCTGAAAGGAGGGTGTAGAGAGGTGGGGGTTGGTCTCTTCTCCCAGGTCACAGGTGACAGGACTAGAAGAAACAGCCTCAAGTTGCACCAGGGGAGGTTCAGGTTGGGCATCAGGAAAAACCTTTACACTGAGAGGGTTGTCAAGCCTTGGGATGGCTGCCCAGGGAGGTGAATGAGGCACCATCCCTGCAGGTGTTCAAAAGACGGGCTGACACGGTGCTGGGGGACACGGTTTAGTGACGGTATTTTTGTCAGGTTGCTGGTTGGACTAGATGATCTCGAAGGTCCCTTCCAACCCAGACGATTCTCTGCAAACACCCCCCAAACCCTGTGGTGGCGACCTCTGCCTGCCGTGGGCGCGCTCCCCCCCAGCTCCCACCGCCCCCTTCCCCGCCGGGCGCGCTCCCCCCGCGGCTGCCCCGCTCCCCCTCTCCCCACCCCCGGCCCCTCACCTCCGGGCCCGGGCGGCGGTCGGGAGCGACTGGTGGCGGCGGAGGCAGAGAGGCCCCTGAGGGAGGGGGGCTCCGCGGTAACGGCCGGCGGTAGCGGCCCTCCGCAGCACGCGCCACATCGCCCGTCACCCCGCCGCCGCCAATGGCAGCGCCCACAAACACCGACGTCACCGCATCGCCCGATCGCCCCACTGCGGCGCGGGCTGCCCAGGAGGAGGGACTAACAGCGGCAAGAGGGGAAAGGCGTTCCCAGGTCACAGGTGACAGGACTAGAAGAAACAGCCTCAAGTTGCACCAGGGGAGGTTCAGGTTGGGCATCAGGAAAAACCTTTACACTGAGAGGGTTGTCAAGCCTTGGGATGGCTGCCCAGGGAGGTGAATGAGGCACCATCCCTGCAGGTGTTCAAAAGACGGGCTGACACGGTGCTGGGGGACACGGTTTAGTGACGGTATTTTTGTCAGGTTGCTGGTTGGACTAGATGATCTCGAAGGTCCCTTCCAACCCAGACGATTCTCTGCAAACACCCCCCAAACCCTGTGGTGGCGACCTCTGCCTGCCGTGGGCGCGCTCCCCCCCAGCTCCCACCGCCCCCTTCCCCGCCGGGCGCGCTCCCCCCGCGGCTGCCCCGCTCCCCCTCTCCCCACCCCCGTCCCCTCACCTCCGGGCCCGGGCGGCGGTCGGGAGCGACTGGTGGCGGCGGAGGCAGAGAGGCCCCTGAGGGAGGGGGGCTCCGCGGTAACGGCCGGCGGTAGCGGCCCTCCGCAGCACGCGCCACATCGCCCGTCACCCCGCCGCCGCCAATGGCAGCGCCCACAAGCACCGACGTCACCGCATCGCCCGATCGCCCCACTGCGGCGCGGGCTGCCCAGGAGGAGGGACTAACAGCGGCAAGAGGGGAAAGGCGTCGGGCGCGGCCAACCGCAACACGGCGAGGAGGAGGCGCTGACCAATGCGGAGAGGGGGTAGCGGTCAGTTAGCCAATGGGAGCCGGGAAACCGGGTCAGGCGGCGGCCCCACCCAGCGGGGCGCGGCCATTTCCGGCTGTTTCTGTGGGGCGGGCAGTAGGGGCTCGGGCTCTGCTCCTCCGACCGCAGGGTTCCGGGGCGCCTTTCCATCGGTGGCCGCCGGTGAGGAGCCTGGCCTAGGCAGGGGGGTAGGCTCGCCAGGCTGGGCCTTGGTGGGGAGCGCCGCAGGAGAGCGGCCCCTAGGCCTCATCCGGGCACCGTCCCGCCTGTCGCCGCGCTGCTGCTGTGACTGGGAAAGCTGAGGCGCCTTTGTCTTCCCTTCGTAACCAGGAGGTTTGAGTATTTCTGGCAGCAAGCGTTGCTGCTTGTCTTTTCACCCATCTGTGGAAACCAAAGGGCCGCACTGAAACCAAAGTGCCAGCTCCTACAGATGGGCCCGTGTTTGTGGTGTACAGTTCCAGCGTTGAGTTTCTGATCAGTGCTGGGAGTGTTCTTTCAGGTAGATACCATAACCATCAGACTAGACTTGTGGGGCTTTCTGGTTCTCTCTGTAGCACATTTAGTCTTGGACGTTTTTCTTTGCTCCATAGTAGCAAGAGTGTGCCCTACAGATCCCAGGCTGTGGCATTCCCTGAGGTGGAGAATATTGGCCAGTTGTCTCCCCTCCTTCACTAACAGCTACAGTTTGTAGAGGGTAGTTGCTGTGTTAGTCAAGCTCCGAAATTGCCTGACTCATTAAGTTCTTAAGGGACAGAAAGAAACACCCAGTTTCCAGATAGGAATCAAGTGTGGACAAGATGTCAAGGTGAACTGTTCAGATAGGGTAGTTCTAGATACGCACTGATCTGCAGTCTAAAGGTAGAGGAACTTCAATACCAGCCTCTCTAGAAACTTCCTACCTCCAGTAGACTGCCTTCTGAACAAGAATTCTGATTTACTGCCTGCCCACAGATTTGGATTTATGGTTAGTTTCCATAAAAGGCCTAGAAATGATGTTTCATATGTTGTCTTGCAGGTATTACTCTTTCTGATTGCCTCTTGGCTCATGTTGTAGCATTTCAGTCTGGTTTGGTTAGATTTTTCCTGTGAACGGGGCAGATGGCCTTACATTGTGACATACCATTAGCAGAACCAAATGTTCAAACTGACAGTTAATATTTTAAAAGGGGGGTATCTTACAGGGGGCCCCCTGTGCAGAACTTAATAAAGGGAGAGTAAGGGAAGGAGGTGGTTAGAGCAGAAGCCACTTGAAACCAGCGGAGAGCAGCAAAAGTAAAAAAAATATATAAAAATGTAGGAAGCAGCTGCTGCATATCCCTTTAACTATAGAAAACACAACATAAGAGCATTCATGTTAATATTGTGTTATTTATTAATAACATTAGAAATGTAATATTCATTAACACAGGAACATTAATAATAATGCGCTTTCAGAAAGGACTGAAAGGTACAAAGATTACTTTTTATTCTGAGTCACTGTTCAGCATGAAATCACAGTACCTGGAGATTGAGCTTTGTAGAAATACCGAGGAGAACATCCTTCACCATATTGGTCACTTGCTAGTTTCATTCCTCCAGATGAAAAAAATCCATCAGATTTTTCTTCTATCATTCTCCTAATATAACCAAAGCTACACAAATCTATGAAAAATACCCTTTACTGAGATGGACATTCAAACCAGCATCTCATATGAAGACAATAGAGTTAACAACCAACCCTCCTGAGAGTTAAGCTCTTTTGGAATAGAAACCTCTACCCTAAAAACCAGAGATAGGGTCTATACGTGTGGCAGAGCTGATGTATGATGTGCACCAAGGAGCAGAAGTACACAGTGATGTTCAGGCTACACAGTGGAGGGATATCAGAAAAGTATCCCTATAGATTATGGGGAAAAGAGACTTATTTTTTTTTCCTAGTTATAATTATTGAGAACTTCCACAGAGGTACTTTAGAACCTGGCTGTCAGAAACAACTATAGTTCCTGTCTTGGGCAGGCTGACAAAGCACTTCACTTGGAACAATATTTGTGAGCACCAGGTCTTACAGGTGACAGTGGATAATGACAGTTAAAAAGGCAGCCAAAAAGGATGACAGGGCCAAAATACACCATTCTAACAAAACAGACAAGGGAGAGACCTCCCAGGCCTTTAACCAAAGATACTTTCAGGATCAGGTATTTTATGTCACCTGTATCGTGTTCCCTCTCGCTCCCTCCAGACTTGCCTTGTACATTCAAACAATCTATTTGTCTTGAAAATAAAGTATCCCCTTTTTTTTGTAATGATACGCCATTTCATTGAAACCTCAGAAATTTTACTCCATCCCACGTAAATAGAAGCATATGTGATACATACATTCCTTTGAGACTTGATTTAATTTATGCATCTCCTGAAGCCTGCTGACTGTTTCCAAACACGCTACTAACAAGGGAAAAGCAGTTTTGTGTCACCACTGGGAAGTCTCTCATTTCACCTGAAAATCCAACCAGCTGCAAATGACTGTCAGAATTTTGCTATCTACTAAGATAAAGGGAAAGACAACCCCCACCAGACTGGAGGAAAATATCTTAATTCTCCAGCAAGTTAAACACAAAGACGGTAAACTACAGAATGAAGTAAACACCGAACAAACCTGGGATTTGACCCCAGCCATTGACTCTTGAGATGAGCCTCTCCACAGTTTTCAGCTTTGCCAGGGAAACTTCCAGTTTTTTTCCCCCAACCTGCCCTTTTTAAGCTTCTTGTTCTCTTCTAATGTTTAAGATCTCCACCCTTCTCAGCTATAGAGCTATCTTTGTTCCTGGTCTCCCTGAAGAATCCTTCTCGGAAGTCTGCTCCTGCCCTGGAGGAGCCTGTTTTTTGGCCTTCAAAAAACATTTGTCTCAGTGATGCACTTAAGTGCAGAGCAAACAACAGCCTGTTTTTTTTTTTTTTCTGAATTTGGAGGTAAATACCTCACAGTCCTAACTAATCTGCTGGTGTTCACTTCACCCTTCTTTCTTAAAAGGCCTATTTCAGGAAAGTGGGTTGGCTTCAGCTCACTTCAGAGAAGACAGATGGCTTTGTAGTAAAAATGTAAGATGTATGCTAAATATATAAGTAGGATGTTGTATTCGCATTTAGTTTTGCTATCTCAAGTATGATGGAAAGGGTGTTATGATGGATGGCTTCCAAATGTTTTTGTACAGCATAAGGTGATGATTAATGATAAAGGAAACTGCTTTTTCAGGAAGGAGTTATTAGGTGGTTTCCTATATGAAGGAAGAAATAACCTTTCAGTGCTTTTCTCCTCTAGATCTTTCTTTCTTTCTTAGCTCTGGACAGGAGGCTCTGCCTTTTCCTGGTACTTTTACATGTTTGGAAAACCTTCATTTGGGAGATTCAACAATTAATTTGCTCTGTTGCTGGTTTCCTGACCCTTGTATCTTGTCTTCTCGAGTCCAACCACAGGCACAGAAGTAGGTCTGGAAGGTGTTGTCCAGGACAACCTAACTTTTGCCACTCTCTTTACTGCAGTGCCTATTAAAAAGCTTCTTAGCTGTTGATAAGATGCTAACTAGTACTGTCTGTCCCCTGTTTTCCTAGGCTCCTGTCTTGCTATCTGTGTCTCTTGTTTTAAAACAACAAGTTTGTGAAAAGCAAGTGCAGTTTTTTGTTCTGTAGTCGTTCCTATACAGTACACACTGCCTGCTACTCTTGTAGTGCCATGACAAAACCAAACCCGTGACAGGGCTGGTGTGAAAACAGGCCACTTGCCATTCTTTTCTTATGAAAAAGCAACTGCATCCATACAAGGCCTGTTAATTTTCAGGTTAGAGTCACCCCATATCAAGTAAAAGGTTGTTTAAGCACCTGTCTTTCCTTACTGCAGTATTTTGCATTTCTTTCTCAGGGAGAAAATGGTCATGTGTGTGTTGCCCCCTGCTGCTAGAGAGTGAGCTGCTCCAGAGGAGGAGAAAATCACCAAGTGTTTTCCCAGGGAAATCTCAAATGTGGATCCTTATGCTCTGGCTGGATTTTTTTTTTCCTTCATACTTATAGCTAAACCTGTTTTTTTACAGTGCCTAATCATCTTAGGATGAAGTAATTTTGGTAGGAATAATGAGGCTTAAACAAATGTTTAGTTAGGAACCGAGTAGCTGAGGACTGGAGCTGTGACTTGGCTAAGGTGGCCGAGGTAACTGCAGCTGCACCAACCTTAAAGAGAATTCAAAGCATCAGACAGGGGCATTTGGCCAGGCTGTGTCCAGGGAACTCTGTCCTACCTCTTGTCCATCTTCTTTTGCTTGTTCTGTCCCCTGCTCTCCCTGTTCTTAAAGCCCTTTAGCTACTCATTTTGCTCCCTTTTTCCTTTTGGTGGATTTGAAGAAGGGAACAGGCTAAAATTATGGGACGTTCTCAACCAGTTAGGCTGGTTGTCTTGTAGAATGACTTTCAGCGGTTGAGAAGATGCAAGTTAATAGGTAAAATACACTATTTTTGACTCTGTTAATGCAGCTGCAATTAAGACATTGCACAGAAGGCTGTAGAAAGGAAAAAGAAGACAAAAGGGAACAGCAGGCATACTTGTAGCTTGGAAGCACATGAAAAGAAAATGTAATATTTTCAGCCCTCACTCTGAGGCACATATTCTTCTGGCCTTTTCACAGACCTCTTCTGAGGCAGCCAGATAATCTGCAGGAAAAGAGAAAATAATTAGGCAAAGGCCTCTTTTGACTTTCACAATCTGCTACAACGAGCGAGAATTTTAGGTGAAGGTTTCTTCCAAGTGTTAATCAGCAAAGGAATTAATCACATTTCAATTATGTGTTGTAAGCTTCAAAGTGAACAGCCTACTCGCAGAGTGTACTGGTTGGCTTTGATTCACTGTTTCTGCCATATCCTCTG